AAGAGACGTTATAGTAAGTAATTACTGTACCATTTTATAACGAGAGACGTTATAGTAAGTAATTACTGTATCGTTTTATAACGACAGATGGTATAGTAAGTAACGAGCGACGTATATATACTGTATCATTATATAACGAGAGACGTTATAGTAAGTAATTACTGGATCATTTTATAACGTGAGACGTTATAGTAAGTAAGTACTTTATCGTTTTATAACGAGAGACTTTGTAATTAGTAATGACTGCATCATTTTATAGCGAGAGGCGTTATAGTAAGTAATTACTGTATCGTTTTATAACGAGAGACGTTGTAGTAAGTAATGACTGTATAATTTTATAACGAGAGACGTTATAGTAAGTAATTACTGTATCATTTTATAACGGGAGACGTTTTAGTAAGTAATTACTGTATCATTTTATGACGTAAGATGGTAAAGTAAGTAAATACTGGATCATTTTATAACGAGAGACGTTATAGTAAGTAATTACTGTATCGTTTTATAACGAGAGACGTTATAGTAAGTAATTACTGTATCATTTTATAACGAGAGACGTTATAGTAAGTGATTACTGGATCATTTTATAACGAGCGACGTTATAGTTAGTAATTACTGTATCATTTTATAACGAGCCACGTTATAGTAAGTAATTACTGTATCATTTTATAACGAGAAACGTTATAGTAAGTAATTACTGTATCATTTTATAACAAGAGACGTTATAGTAAGTAATTACTGTATCATTTTATAACGAGAGACGTTGTAATAAGTAATTACTGTATCATTTAATAACGAGAGACGTTATAGTAACTAATTACTGCATCATTTTATAACGAGCGACATTATAGTAAGTAATTACTTTATCATTTTATAACGAGAGACGTTGTAATAAGTAATTACTGTATCATTTAATAACGAGAGACGTTATAGTAACTAATTACTGTATCATTTTATAACGAGCCACGTTATGGTAAGTAATTACTGTATCATTTTATAACGTCAGATGGTATAGTAAGTGATTACTGTATCAATTTATAACGAGAGAGGTTATAGTAAGTAATTACTGTATCATTTTATAACAAGAGACGTTATAGTAAGTAATTACTATATCATTTTATAACGAGCGACGTTATAGTAAGTAATTACTGGATCATTTTATAACGAGAGACGTTATTGTAAGTAATTACTGTATCGTTTTATAACAAGAGACGTTAGCTTAAGTAATTACTATATCATTTTATAACGAGCGACGTTATAGTTAGTAATTACTGTATCATTTTATAACGAGAAACGTTATAGTAAGTAATTACTGTATCATTTCATAACGAGAGGCGTTATAGTAACTAATTACTGTATCATTTTATAACGAGCGACGTTATAATAAGTAAATACTGGATCATTTTATAACGAGAGACGTTATTGTAAGTAATTACTGTATCGTTTTATAACAAGAGACGTTAGCTTAAGTAATTACTATATCATTTTATAACGAGCGACGTTATAGTTAGTAATTACTGTATCATTTTATAACGAGAGACGTTGTAATAAGGAATTACTGTATCATTTCATAACGAGAGACGTTAAAGTAACTAATTACTGTATCATTTTATAACGAGCCACGTTATGGTAAGTAATTACTGTATCATTTTATAACGAGAGACGTTATAGTAAGTAATTACTGTATCATTTCATAACGAGAGACGTTATAGTAACTAATTACTGTATCATTTTATAACGAGCGACATTATAGTAAGTAATTACTGTATCATTTTATAACGAGAGACGTTGTAATAAGTAATTACTGTATCATTTCATAACGAGAGACGTTATAGTAACTAATTACTGCATCATTTTATAACGAGCGACATTATAGTAAGTAATTACTGTATCGTTTTATAACGAGAGACGTTATAGTAAGTAATTACGGTATCGTTTTATAACGAGAGACGTTATAGTAAGTAATTACTTGATCATTTTATAACGAGCGACGTTATAGTAAGTGATTACTGGATCATTTTATAACGAGCGACGTTATAGTAAGTACTTACTTGATCATTTTATAACGAGCGACGTTATAGTAAGTAATTACTGTATCATTTTATAACGAGAGACGTTATAGTAAGTAATTATTGTATCATTTTATAACGAGAGACTTTGTAATAAGTAATTATTCTATAAAAGTAAGTAATTACTGTATCATTTCATAACGAGAGACGTTATAGTAAGTAATTACTTGATCATTTTATAACGAGCGACGTTATAGTAAGTAATTACTGTATCATTTTATAACGAGCGACATTATAGTAAGTAATTACTGTATCATTTTATAACGAAAGACGTTATAGTAAGTAATTACTTGATCATTTTATAACGAGAGACGTTATAGCAAGTAATTACTTGATCATTTTATAACGAGCGACGTTATAGTAAGTAATTACTGGATCATTATATAACGGGAGACGTCATAGTTAGTAATTACTGTATCACTTTATAACGAGAGACGTTGTAATAAGTAATTACTCTATAAAAGTAATAAACTGTAGAAAAAAAATGTTTGGTCAAGCTTGGTAGTGACTGCAGGAAGCCTGAACATTTTAAAATCCAGACTGAATGATCACTGGAGAAATCTGCCTATTAAATTCACACCTTATTAGATCCAGAAACACAAGTAACTCATAGGTACGCATACGTTATAATTTAGTGATACCGTATCGCTAATTTAAACAAATGCATCAATAGTAGTTATTGGGGGACTTAATGGAACTGATGATAACCGGCATTAAGGAAGTTATGAATATTATATAAATCACTAATTAGAGTTGGGGGTTAGAGAACCGGTTTAGCTACCCATAAAGAAGTATAAGGCGAGCATGACCGAATCGCATTCAAATGTGTCGCTCACCATAGTGTACATAGTGGCTAGAAACGGGGGACAATGGAAGGGTAGTAACATTATTTGCTATCCTCAACAGTTTAACATTGGAGAACATGAACTTTAAGGTCACGTGCCAATCCGCAGTTAATGTTGCTGGAAGTGGGTTAGTGAATTTGTTTCGCTACCTCTACAAATCTGCAACTATATATCAGGAATTTTAATTGTACAGAACATTGATTTTTAGTGTGTTAGTGTGCACTTTTAACTATAAAAACTTGTCACCAACAAATATGCACATACCAAAAAGTATCGATGACAACAAGATATAGGACAGTATCACAAGTTGAACACTTACAACGACTGGAAGAACAGTGCGAACAGAGTAATCTCTATTAATGTATATAAACAGGGAAACACATAGAACCGTTATATATATATGTACATATTTCGGTCATATATCCCAAGCTTATATGATAATGAACTGACACGAAACAATCAATACTTATTACTTTAATGTAATGTTAGATGTATATGAAAATTAAATTTTAAATTCTATTTAGCCTTTGATACGCAAGCAAAGCGTTACATTTGACATAACAAAAGCTAGATAGTTAATTCGTGAAAGATTGGGCATTTAGACGATCAAACATAGAAAACACTTGATGGCGCCGTCTACAAATCACAAGCACATTACTACAAATGGCAGTACCAATTTCAGAAATGATAGCTTTATAGTTAAAACTACAAGCCACTGAGAAGCTGTCAGAATGTGAAGAGTACCGCCAAGGTTTGGATTAATAGCAAGAACTATTCACTACACGTACACTTCGGCACGCCAGTTTAGGTACAGATGCGGAACTAAATTATTTCATAGTGTTACCATGGAAACAAAGTTCGCGCAAGCGTGGAAGATGAAAATATCTGACCCAAGCATGCTACCGTAAACAATTCATCACAAAGATACGTTCTAGACAAAATGGCTGCTCCTGATTATACGTAGCCGAGAAGATTCAGTTTGGTTGTTTTGATGTGGTAGTGGAATACTTGGTTGGACCTGGAGTTTTACGTGTAGCTGATACATGTGTAGTGTCGGATCGATAGGCTGACGGCACGGCGACACAAGGCCGCGGCATATCAACAAGGGAACTGCATATTTATAATGTGTAAGTATAGATGTTGTGAAGGTTGTGTGGTGGGGAGAGAAGCGGTACGACACACACCCTGTATTTGTTGATATGTCTAGTGTCCGTGCAAACATCAACCCACCATTACCTTTCCCTACACGTGTTAATTATTGATACCATCAGGACAGATTGGTAACCGATCATCAGGTACAGATTACGCCGTACATAAATATGACCTTCTACCACAGAATTTCTGTGTGAAATATTGACTTTGGGCCATCAATTGATCCCTCTCTTTCAGTACTGAGGCGTGATACAGTTATTAGTAAATTGTTTGTAACTGTTACTGTTAACGGATTATACTACAACGCACCATGCATAGTGGGAACGCTTGTTTGGTTCCAACCGGAAGTCAACTGTCAATGCCATGTTCTGTGAGTATGACATCCTAAGATAAGGAAACATCTTGTTTTTCATCATGTTGATAGATCAACAAGGTTTTCTTAATATTACGTAGTTATCGTTAGGCCATCTTTTGTTTAGTTTTCTGTAACATGTCTGAATTTGTAGGGTTGGGTTTTGATGTTTCTGAAAGGAACTTGCGTGTTTATATTTATTTCTGCTCTTTGTAATTATGTTCTTCATACAAATGATACACATCACTCGCTGTACAACAAACGTATCTGTTGGTGCTATTTCGTATACTTATATTTTTTTCCTGTCGACACAAATTATTTAAGTGTACAGGTACTCTTTCACGTTACTCTATTTTTCAAAACCTGCAAAAGTATTTATATTTACTGTTTCTGTACACAAATATATCTATATTTACTCTTTCTGTACACACAAACATATCAATATTTACTCTTTCTGTACACAAATATATCTATATTTACTCTTTCTGTACACAAATATATCTATATTTACTCTTTCTGTACACAAATATATCTATATTTACTCTTTCTGTACACAAATATATCTATATTTACTCTTTCTGTACACAAATATATCTATATTTACTCTTTCTGTACACAAATATATCTATATTTACTCTTTCTGTACACAAATATATCTATATTTACTCTTTCTGTACACAAATATATCTATATTTACTCTTTCTGTACACAAATATATCTATATTTACTCTTTCTGTACACAAATATATCTATATTTACTCTTTCTGTACACAAATATATCTATATTTACTCTTTCTGTACACAAATATATCTATATTTACTCTTTCTGTACACAAATATATCTATATTTACTCTTTCTGTACACAAATATATCTATATTTACTCTTTCTGTACACAAATATATCTATATTTACTCTTTCTGTACACAAATATATCTATATTTACTCTTTCTGTACACAAATATATCTATATTTACTCTTTCTGTACACAAATATATCTATATTTACTCTTTCTGTACACAAATATATCTATATTTACTCTTTCTGTACACAAATATATCTATATTTACTCTTTCTGTACACAAATATATCTATATTTACTCTTTCTGTACACAAATATATCTATATTTACTCTTTCTGTACACAAATATATCTATATTTACTCTTTCTGTACACAAATATATCTATATTTACTCTTTCTGTACACAAATATATCTATATTTACTCTTTCTGTACACACAAATATATCTATATTTACTCTTTCTGTACACAAATATATCTATATTTACTCTTTCTGTACACAAATATATCTATATTTACTCTTTCTGTACACAAATATATCTATATTTACTCTTTCTGTACACAAATATATCTATATTTACTCTTTCTGTACACAAATATATCTATATTTACTCTTTCTGTACACAAATATATCTATATTTACTCTTTCTGTACACAAATATATCTATATTTACTCTTTCTGTACACAAATATATCTATATTTACTCTTTTTGTACCCAAAAACATATCTATATTTACTCTTTCTGTACACAAATATATCTATATTTACTCTTTTTGTACCCAAAAACATATCTATATTTACTCTTTCTGTACACAAATATATCTATATTTACTCTTTTTGTACCCAAAAACATATCTATATTTACTCTTTCTGTACACAAATATATCTATATTTACTCTTTTTGTACCCAAAAACATATCTATATTTACTCTTTCTGTACACAAATATATCTATATTTACTCTTTTTGTACCCAAAAACATATCTATATTTACTCTTTCTGTACACAAATATATCTATATTTACTCTTTTTGTACCCAAAAACATATCTATATTTACTCTTTCTGTACACAAATATATCTATATTTACTCTTTTTGTACCCAAAAACATATCTATATTTACACTTTCTGTACACAAATATATCTATATTTACTCTTTTTGTACCCAAAAACATATCGATATTTACCCCTTCTGTATACAAATATATCTATATTTACTCTTTTTGTACCCAAAAACATATCAATATTTACCCCTTCTGTATACAAATATATCTATACTCACTCTTTCTGTACACAAAATGTATCTATATTTCCTCTTTCTGTACACATAAATGTATCTATATTTAGTCTTTCTGTACACAACTGTATCTATATTTACTCTCTTTGTACCCAAAAACATATCTATACTTACTCTTTCTGTACGCAAATGTATCTACATGTACATACCCTTTATTTCTGTACACACAAATATATCTATATGGACTCTTTCTGTACACACAAATATATCTATACTCACTCTTTCTGTACACCTTATATTTACTCTTTCCTTACACACAAATATATCTATGTTTACTCTTTCTGTATACAAATATATCTATACTCACTCTTTCTGTACACAACTGTATCTATATTTACTCTTTCGGTACACAAATATACTATATTTACTCTTTTTGAACCCAAAAACATATCGATATTTACCCCTTCTGTATACAAATATATCTATACTCACTCTTTCTGTACACTCAAATGTATCTATATTTTCTCTTTTTGTACCCAAAATAATATCTATATTTACTTTTTCTGTACACAAATAGATCTATATTTACTCTCTTTGTACCCAAAAACATATCTATATTTACTTTTTCTGTACACAAATAGATCTATATTTACTCTCTTTGTACCCAAAAACATATCCATATTTACTCTTTTTATACCCAAAAACATATCTATACTTACTCTTTCTGTACACCTTATATTTACTCTTTCCTTACACACAAATATATCTATATCTACTCTTTTTGTACCGAAAAACATATCTATACTTACTCTTTCTGTACGCAAATGTATCTACATGTATATACCCTTTATTTTTGTACACAAATGTATTATATTTACTCTTTCTTTACACACAAATATATCTATACTCACTCTTTCTGTACACAACTGTATCTATATTTACTCTCTTTGTACCCAAAAACATATCAATATTTACCCCTTCTGTATACAAATATATCTATATGGACTCTTTCTGTACACCTTATATTTACTCTTTCTGTACACAAATATATCTATATTTACTCTTTCTGTTCACAAATATATCTATATTTACTCTTTCTGTACACAAATGTATTTATATTTACTCTTTCTGTACACAAATGTATCTATATTTACTCTTTCTGTTCGCAAATGTATCTACATGTATATACCCTTTATTTTCGTACACAAATGTATCTACATGTACATACCCTTTATTTCTGTACACACAACAATTACTACAAATGTATCTATATTTACTCTTTTTGTACCCAAAAACATATCTATATTTACTCTTTCTGTACACAAATATACTATATTTACTCTTTCTGTACACAAATGTATCTACATGTATATACCCTTTATTTTTGTACACAAATGTATCTACATGTACATACCCTTTATTTCTGTACACACAACAATTACTCGTGAAGTGGTGGCGGTTACATAAAAGTTCAGTCACCGTTGTTTCAGTCAGTTTCATTGAATTTAAATAAACATGATTTAATTAAAACGGTCATGAGTTGTTAAACTCATTCAAGCACACATTCTTATAGTTTGTCGGGTGACTTATATTGCTGTTTCCCAAACGACGAGCTATGCTGCGTAGGAATTAGTTTGTGGTGAAGTGTTTGGTCAATGATTAGTCTCGTTCGACCAGACGCTTGACCAGCTTGCGCAGACAACAAGAGTTTGGTTGAACGAGACTAGTCACTGATATGCAGAAATCACAGTCATACCCAAACTATTATTAAATATTACACTCCAAAGAATTTAGATATTGTTCGATTTTAATAAATTATGAATGGTTGTTCAGACCGTAAATTAAAAACAAACAAAAAATAGCATCCATTATTTTACAATATCGCGCCTGAATTCAAACCGCAATGTTCATAATAGATTGTAACTTATTATGGATCCTTCTTCAACTGCATTGCTGTTTTTTGTATATACTGTAATTACTTCCCCTTACTTTTGTTTTGGATATAAATATAGCACGTTAGGGCACTGGGACTTCAGTTGACAAGGTATAGCTCAGTCAGTTAGAACGATAGTAAAACCCTTTTTTCTGTGTCCAAAAATAATCTCGACCAATTTTTTTGAAGATTTCCCTCTATTTCATATGGGATTTCCTTATATCAACCATCCCCTGATTTTCTATGGCTTCCCTTTGCCAGTAGTTTGAATCTCTATATAATTATGCCTAAGGGAGTTGCCCAAATAAGGAGTCCACTACTTATACTCTAAACAATAGGGGATTAATCCTCCATTGTCTATATATCAGTGGGTCTCCAGTCAGGTCAGTGATCAAGGCTCACCGGACTGACTCTACCTAATCTTATTGTTCTAAGGTCACGGTGTGGTGATCACCCTGTCATTAGGTATATAGGTAAAGTGGTATTTCAAAGGTAGAGTCTATTTCATGATTGATATTCCCGTATTTTCACCAGTTGTTTCAAGTACACATGGTCACGAGGAGTGATTTAATATAACAATTAAAAAATATAAAATACCAAATTTTTTAAAGACAATGAAACATCCTCATTATAGCATCACTTCATCAGGTGACTAATAACCAATGTTAGCATAAAAGCATGGCGTGTACATCCTTTTCATGAGGTGTTGCCATTGTACATATGTATGCATACTATTTCACAATAAAAGACAAACAGTTAAATCATAATTCATATTTACAACAAAATGAATTAATATTAAATTGCGAGCATACTTGCAAAAAAGAAGTTCTATATATATTTGGTGGCAGAAAGTAGTATACATGAAAAACCGACATGACAATTCTAATTTATTAGTTTTAGATAAGTGCAAAAACCTAGATTTCAGTTAAACAGCACAACGATATTTTTTAGTTGCTGTTTTGTTATTGTTGCTATTGTTGTTGTCGCCGTTGTCTTGTTTTATACATGTAGTTAACTTATGACTGGTTAGACCGGAGTAGCTGCACGTC